ACCATCCCGTTTCTTTTGCTGATCGGTTCTTGTTTTGTTCTCTGTAGTCTATCACAGCGGTTATATATCACTGAACACTTGGAAATTAAACATATAAAGCCTTTTTTGGTAGTTTCCAGTGGGCTTGAACTGGTGCTGTTGACGTGTTTTACATTTTATAAAGAATTTGATCTCGTGTAGCCAAATTTTGCGCAGTTGACCAGGGACTTGAATCGTCTGTGCACCTCCTGAGTAAACCATTAACCATTCCTGTCTGGCTGGGTGGGTGCTCGGCTCAGTGGTTCCTCTCTCCTGTTCTGCTGGGAATGTGGCTGTTCTTTATCCTTCTGAGCTTCTGTGCCATCTGACCTTCTGATTACTTCAAATTTGCTGCTGTTGTTGCTTCAGTTTTAGAACCATTTCATTAACCCAGTGAAGGAGGTTCCAAGGAAGAGTGAAGATTTATAATTGTACATTTCTTGGTTTTGCTGTATTTCAGCCTGCACCAGTGTTTGCTGGGATTAGAACCGTAGCAGTGTTGGCCACTAAAAATTTTCAAGGCCAGATTGGATGAGGCTTTGAGCAACCTGGTGTAGTGGAGGGTGTCCCTGCCCATGGCAGGGGGGTTGGAACTAGATGATCTTTGAGGTCTCTTCCAACCCAAACTATGATTCTAGTTGCTCTGGAGCCGATATGTAAACTCAGTTACATATGCAAACTCCGGATAAGTGTTCCAGTTTGCAGAGGAGAGAGACAACTTTGAACTTACGACAGTTACCTGCTGTGCAGGAGATAACTAGGGAGCTGGTTAAAAAACATAGAGTTTGTCTTGTGAGAAATTTCCTCATCTTTGTATTTACATTTATTCTGCATCAGAATAAACCCAATTATTTTCAATATTTTCAATCAGAGCAAAATTCTTCAATATGTTTTTCAAGTATATTCTTGTTTATTTTCTGTCTAGGTTTTTAAATGTTTAAATTAATATTTTTGGTGGTTTTTTTTCAGAATAGAAAAGTATTATATGACATGGCTTGTCTTTAAAATAGATTATTTTAAAATAATTCAGAACAGCTGCTTTCTAGTGATTGAGTCATCTCATTTTCTAGATTAGAATCTCTTGTTTGTTTTGTAATGAAATGGTTTGACGCTTGGGACAAGAAATTAAGATAAATACTCAGCATACCAACTAGAAGAGCAGGTGGTTTTTTCAGCATCCTTCTTATTCTAAGAAAGTGCTGTGTTTCTTCTCCAGACATGTTTCTGTGCATTTATAAATTACTCCACAGTTGTAAATTTCCATAGCTCCTTCTTGAAAAATTTTCGGTGTCTGATTCCCTGAAGTTTCTCTTGCTTCAGAGCTTTCAGTTTAAATCCGTTGAGGAGAAGAGTGGCAACTTCTTAATGTCTTCATTTCACCCAGTTTATAATTTTATGCATAATACATTGAATTTGATGCATAATACATTTATACATGAAAACCAACATATAAGTGATGTATTACAGCATCTTTTCTTTCTGTAGGAGAAATCCTCTGACACAGAGGCATGGATACGCACAGACACGTATGGTGTAGCACTTTTCAGATACTCCAGTAAGGAAATACCAACAGCTTCAGTATCTGGAGATGATCCTGGCTATGAGCGATGTTGCAGAGCTGGTTGGGGAGCCTATGGCTCGAACAGTATGGATGTGTGCCAGGTCAGCAGGGAGCAGCCAGCCAGCACTCCAGGAGACTTTGCTGGCAAGAACAGCTATAATTGTAGCTGAAGTTGCAGCTGCTTTAGCTATACTGGGAGGCCCACAGAGGAATAGACTGAGACAGAGCTCTTGGATGTTAATCCACACTTGGGGTAGCACTAATACATAAGAAACAGCAGATATCTCACTTGGAAGAGAAAAATGATTCTTTTGTTTTCTGAGCTGGAAGAGAATTTGTCGCCTTTTCCCAATAGAGAGCTCTGTTTTCAGGGCTACTTCATCTGTTTCACCTGTGGTTTTGCTGCTTAATCATCAGCACTCAGCAACTACAGAAATCCATTGAATCCCTCAACCACAAAAATGTTTGTGTAGAGGAGTGTAATGGCCTTCGTTTCATAAATGGAGGCTCGGAGAACGTCAGTTTACAGTGGTCACGACAAAAGCCATCAGCAGAGGTGGGCACACAGTTTGGTCTTCAGGCAGTATCTGTAGACACTTTCCTCACCCTTTCAGCCACTCAGAGCTCTTCAGAAGAGCTCAAGACTAACTCTGATGAGAGCAATAAGCTGGTAACTAGCTGTACCTGCGGGTACCGTTACGCCTACTCATCCCTTCAATATTTCTGCTTCTAGACTGAAGGATACTGGAGCACGTGCACAATTTTGTACTATTGTTTTTCTGTTCTCTGTGTTGCATCCAGTACTGTTCATGTATTAGAGTTAAATGTTACGTTCTGGGGACAAGGATTGCTTTCTCTAAATGTCTTCAGATCACCTGGTTTAACAGGGTTCATATCTGTCGGAATAGAGAGTCTGCTGCAGTAGCAATAATCTCACAATTTGGCTGTGCCACAAATCTCTCTTTACTGTAGTTCATCTATCCTAAAAAAAAAAATAATTTGGAGAATAGTGAAGATTAGAGTGAGCCATCTTTCTGAAAATTGGCCCAAACATCAGTCTGAAATCATGGATGTACTCCCTCTCCCGTGTAGTTTTCTCCTCTGCCACTTCTCATGTGTTGAACCCGAGTTGTTTTAAGGTCCCTTATACTCATATTCTCTGCTATAGTCAGCAGAAAAAGAGACTATTTTTTAAAATCAGTGACTTTCCCTGTTTGTTTGGGTTTTTTTTCCTCTCTTGAAAGCTTTTCTAGCTCTATTTGCCTTAGGGGGGATAGTTTTTTTAATGAAGAAAAGTAACTTATTTTCTAGTGATTTTAGAACTGGTGAAGGTAGCTGAATACATTTATTTATATGGAGATCAAGGACAAGTGCATCTTCTGCTTATATTTAAAGCCTTCTGTATAATGTGCTTGAAAATAAATACCACGGATTTTGCATAGGCTACTACCTGGGCATCCTGTGAACGTGGTTTTTGGTTGCCCAGCAGTAGGAAGTTCCCTTTCTTTTTCCCAAACTCCTAATTTGCTCATTCTCCTTTGAAGTTTTATAGAATTGCTATTTCTCTAGCACTTGATTTGCAAGTAGAGCATACAGATTGCATCGGTTCGTTCCTACCTAATACACAAAATAAATTTTTCGTTCTGGTATTGGCTATGGCATTGACTGCGTCATGTCTCTTAATTTAAGGTCTTTGATCTTCACTCTAACTCTGATGGTGTTTTTACACTCCTTTGCCTTGAAGTACCTTGATGCAGTAAGAACTGTCAAAATATTGTCCTGTGCCATGCTGCAATCCACACCTTACCAAAGGAAAAGGAGCGAGTGTAAGGATTTCTCCTCCTTGCGTTTCTTTTTTTTATTATAACGACCATTGTGCTAAGATCTGTCTCTTTCTCAGGTTTCTGGCAAGTAATAAAAATTTAAACCCAGGTTGTGATTCCTGGAAAAATTAGTAGGTTTTCAATGAAATCACCTGCAAGCTGTTTAATTGTAACTCCTTTAAGGGTTCTGCTTTTGCAATTTCTTGCTGCTCTGTGGGCCTGGGTGTGATTCGTGGCCCTTCTCTTTTGCTGCCTTGGCTTGGGTGTCAGCTGTCTAAATTGTTCTCCTCTGTCCAAACAATAGGATTCACACTCTCACATCCTTCTCTAGTGTCAGTAGCATCAGTCTCTGTCTCCTATTTATCCTGTTATCATTGAAGCCCCCCTTTTTTAAACATTGTACATGTATTTTCTCTCAAAATGCAACGTTTTCCTCCTGTCATAAAGCAAGCTTTAAAAATTTTCAAAGGCTCTTTCAGCAAAGCTGGGAATTAGATTCTTGTGGAGCCCTTCATAAAAAATTGAAGACTTCATGTATTAACATACATTGATTTATTCATAGTGTTTCATTACAAATAAGCGAGGATCCCATAATATCAGGAAAGGTTAGGAGAGCAGTGGAGCACGTTATATTATATTGACAGCTCGGTGGAAATTGAGCTGCCTTTGGATTGAATTTGGAACACAGGGAAGGAATTGGCTGGTAAATAAGTCATGAGTTTTACTTGCAAGTGTCTGTATATCAACAGGGTTGCCATGGGTAAGCATAATGGAGCTCGAGCAGAATTTCAAAGGTGTGTGTTCAGCTTGGATTCCTCTAAAGGTGTGTTAGCACCAGCAGCGGTGTGTTCCCGAGCAGCTCTCCAGGTCTGTAGCTTCATCTCTGAGGCAAAAGCCAGGTGTGGTTCCATAGGTAAACCTGCAAACCGAGGCTGAAAACGGGGAGGGAAATGATACCAGCAGCTGGCTTACAAGCTCAGAGAAGAGAAGGGCTTTTGTCTGAAGACTTGATGATCTTTATTTCATTTAAACATACCATTTCATTTTAGCATATTCTCTTCCATTTCATTCTAGCATATTCTCTTTAGCATAGGAAAAGATTTCCAAAACCTTTGTTATCAGTAAAAGGCTCCCATTGTTTTCTGTAGCTGTTTGAGAAGAGCATTTGCCAGAAGAAAAAAAAAATACTCGATGTAAAATGTATCCATGTCTGCAACAGCAGCTTTCGTATGCTACAGGGGATTGTATGGGAAATTCTCATGAAAATTCTGCTGGTCATATTGTGCGCTCTGGTTTGGCTGCAGAAGTTCTGAGATTTGGAACAAAAAGCAATTCTTTGCATCTTTTGTTGTAAATCAGCACATGCTGAGGTTTTAGTCGAGAGAAGAAATTATCTTTTTCCGAAGTAAAGCCTTGGAAAAATTGTCATGTTTGTTTGGCCGCATCCAAATACAGAACCACTCGCTAGAGATACTGAAATAATATCTGTCCTTGTGTTTTCAATGTCTGGTCTCGAGAGATGGCAAAATAGGGGAGCAGAGAAAGGCCAAGTGCAGAAGGCCCCTTATCACCTTACTTTCCTTGTTCTTCATTTGCAGATTACATACAAGGCCGTTGGGTCTCTGGATCCCAGTGCTGACCTGTCCAGCCAAAGAGGGAAAGTCTTCAAACTAAGGAATGAAACACATCACCTCTTTGTAGGATTATACCCAGGGACTACGTATTCATTCACCATCAAAGCCAGCACAGTCAAGGGCTTTGGGCCACCCATCACAACACGGATTGCAACTAAGATTTCAGGTACTGCTTTGGAGAAGAGGAAAAAGAACTTTCTAGGGCTTTGTTCTTTAGACCCGCAGCTGATGCATAAAGCAATAAAAAGGTATTCAGCTTAGTGTCTCCTCTACAAGTTTCATAGGGCAAATTTTTAAAACAGCCACAATCCAGTATCTGTGTGTGTTTGGGTTGCAAATGCAGTGGTTAATTTATGGATATCTTAAATATCCATGAACGTCTTTGCGGAGCGTTTTAAATGAGAACCTTCATTAGTTCTACAAATGAACTATCCCTATAATAATTGTTAATATTATCTGCATGGCTGGGGAAGCTCCTTCAATAACGTGACTTTTGTTTTCAGAATGCACCAAAATGGATGTAATGAAGTAATTGAATTAATAGTGCAAGGAGACTACAAATAAAGGAGGAAAGCTGTTTTTATGTCTTCTTTCTGAGTAAGGGCAGAGGGAGGGCTTGAGGTAGGCAGACAAGTATATGAAAGGCATTAAAATCAGGAGACATTCCAAAGAGAAGGCACGTGTGTCTGGGGAAAAAAGAAAAAGGAAACTTAGGCTATCTATCAGAAAAAAAGATGGATAAAGGGATGGAAGAGATGATATTGGGCAGACATATGTAGACTTTAATTTTAAAATTTAATTGATAGCACTAAAACAGGTTCTCTTAACAGGTTTAAAACTATCATTTTTTAAAATACCTTAACTGTTTTTTCATAAAGCCAAAATAAATGTTTGGGATGTTCAGGACACTTGTAACACTTGAAATTATGGCTGGGTGCCATAGAAGAGAGAGCACGACAGCACATATTGTCCATTGCCATACTTCAAAATTGGCTCATAAAAAGTTGTTAGCAGTGACAGCATAAATTTTAAGGAAGTATAATGTATCTATTCCCTCCACTAACTGTCAGCAGGGTTTGAACCCTAAAGTTTAGTGCAAAGGCCCATGTCTCATCCACTTGTAAAGCCATTAACTGTCGTAACCGCTCCGCGGAGCGTTCGGGTTTGTGCAGCCCTGCCGAGATGGGAAGGCACAGTGTGCACTCGGGTCTCTTGTGACCAGGCAAATACAATAACACAGCAATGGCAGTGCTTCTTCCCTCTGATTCAGTTTCTTTGCATTTTATTATTCAGTGAATGCTCAGATTGTGTTAGAAGTCTGCATGGTTATTAACTGTATGCACGCTGAGCTCAGTTTGTCTTTTTCTTTTTATTCCATCTTCCAAACGTCTGGTTTGCGGTAGGTAGGTGCAGACTTCATGCAAGCGTTAGGGTAGTCTCTGACAATAGATTATTTTGGGCAACCTGGTGTAGTGGAGGATTTCCCTGCCCATGGCAGGGGGGTTGGAACTAGATGATCTTTGAGGTCCCTTCCAACCCAAACCATTCTATGATTCTATGATTATCTCATTGCATGGTCAGTCCTATACATGTAATTTGGAAATTACAGTTAAACTTGCTGTAAGAGGCAGTTCCAAGGTTAGCAGGGAGAGGGAAGATTTTTGCATTGACCACAATGTCCTTGTAAGACTATGTATATTTTAAAATGAAAAGACATCTATGCTGTAGCAATGTGTGAGTGTATATGTTTATATGATGGACATGTTTGGTTTATTTTGTAATCACAATTAAATGGCAGAATTCCGGAGGATTACTCTTTGGGCAAGACTGGAATCTTGCAAAATAGGCATTAAATGGATGTGCAGCCCTTGCTATTTTAGAGAGATCACCGCCAATTGGAGTTTTATTGAGGTACTACACAACTGTTCTGTGTTGAGTACACAAGAAAACTACTTATTTCAGTGTCTTGTGTCTAATACAGACTCTAATCACTGAATTGCACTCAATACCCTTAGCTAGTCTTGCCAAGGCCTGTGCTTCTTCCGTTTACTTCTTAACCATATAGTGTCTGAAAGTAAAACTGTAAATTCTCTGTGGCAGATGCAGTGTGAAGACCAGACAGGTCTCATGCACAGCCAGGAGGAGACATCTGAGCTAGCTAACACATCAGAAACAATTCAGAGGCCGCAGCGCTGCAGCTAGGCTGGAAGGAGCTGCTTCAGAGCAGGATGGTGGAGCCTGCAAAGGCTGAACCCAGCCTGTTTCTGGTGTCCCAAGTGGCCCTGCAGCCTTTGTGTAGCACTGCCTTGTGCTGTAGCACCATCCCTCTGGCCAGAGCAGGTGCTGTGGCATCTCCAGCAACTATGGTGATCTCTGGTGGAGAAGACCGCTGGTGATGTGCATCTTCTTTCAGTGACTCACACTTCTTCCCCTTGATGCAGGGCACCTTTTTCAGAGAGATCTTCGTTAAGGAATCGGCGTTCATTCTGAACCCATTGCCAGCTTATTGACAGAGAAGCCAGTAGCTAAGCTGATAATAGCAACCACCGTTCTTGACAGTTTTTCAGGCATTTAGATAAAAATCCTGATGGTAAACAGGATTACAGTGGAAATCATGGTGAGAGAGCTAAATACGGGACCCCCCACAATGCAGCTTGCCCTTGTGAGTTACAGATTAACTATTCGTGTGAATTCTTTTGTTGGCTTTATACTTCAGAGATATTTCAACAAATCTTGCGTCTTTGGAATAAATTTGATGCTGCTCTGATCTCGTGATCTCTTCAGTTCTTCCACAGTAGAAACTGTCCCAGACAGATGTCTGCTACTGGGGAAGGAGGAAGTAACATAATAAGTAAAATATGTTTCCTAAGAAAACCTGTCTTACTTTCATGAAACGATCCTAATAGAAGATAACAAAGGAGAAGTAGAAACTAGACTTTGGCTAAGTGTGAATGTTCAGTGGTTTTCTATATTGCTTTGGGGAAGATGTCAGCAAAGTGATGGGGAAACCCTGGCAGGGCAGTGCCTGAGCACACACTGGAAGCCGTGCAACTGCCTGTTGATTCAACATTGCTACAGCACTGGGGTGAAACGTCGTGGGTTTGAGTGCGAAAATGGGTGATTTGTGCTTCTCTCTTTTCTTCGTTCGTGCATCGTAATGTACCCTCCAGCTAATCAAGGAGACTCAGCTTACATCTATGTATTAAAAACTATCTGAGATGTGGGAGTTCTAATCCAATGACCAGAACAGTGAACAAGAGCCAGGTTTCCTGGGTGCTATTCTTAGCTCTGCCACTGATTCGTTCATCCTAAGTGGTCTTTTATAATGTCCATGCAGGTTTCTTTCTCCACCTTTAAAATTGAAGGAATGATTCTATCTCAATGGATTAGTAAGTCTTCGAAATTCAAGACAGGATTTTCAAAGCCAGCTTGAGGATCTGGGTGTCCGATTCCAGTTTACTTTTAATAGGAAAAGAGTGTACAAATATTTAAGCAGTTTTGACAATTTCGGTCATAACATTGGGAAGTATTTTGATGTTTCATTTGAGAAATGTTAAACGGTCTCCAAGAAATGTTAATAGCACGTTGCCATCACTACCAGAGGCAGTAACTGGTGTTTAACTGACGTGTCGCTCTGTGTTCCGCTGTAGCCCCGTCGATGCCGGAATACGACACGGACTCCCCCCTGAATGAGACTGACACCACCATCACCGTTATGCTGAAGCCTGCACAGTCCCGGGGAGCACCTGTCAGGTAGGTGTTTTGTCTTCTCTTTTCACAGTTCTCCCCTCTCCTTCCTCCCCAGGCTTCGCTCACGCCTCCCTCGTTCTCGCCGGATAATACAGCTGCCGACAGCGAGCGCCGGCTCAAAGGCCAACTCTGCTGTTGATTCTGCCTTTCATTCTCCTCTCATAAACTCCTCAACCTGCTCGCCTCCCGCTGTTAACCTCCGGGCAGGATTGCTGAGAGCGTTGCACGGGGTTGTTTCCCGTTCAGCATCGCTGGAATTGCGGTACACACAGCTGTGTACCGCGACGCCCTGAGCTGAGCATCGCCGTGCAAAGGTGGAGGAGGCTGCAGGCCTCCGTCTCCTGCCCTCTCTTCCCTGATGGATAAGGCCTTTTCGTAAATATTCTGTGAATGTCTGAACTAGCTTTAATGCTTGCGGATGCGTTTGTTCCAGTTCTTGGATCTAACCACACTCCTCACGTCTTCGTGTTGTAATCCAGCAATTGGGTTGGGCCAGTCGTAGGCACAAATACAAACTGGGCACAGAGTGGGTTGAGAGTAGCCCTGAAGAGAAGGATTTGGGGGTGTTTATAGATGAGAAGCTCAACATGAGCCGGCAGTGCACTCATGCGGCCCAGAAGGCCAACCGCATCCTGGGATGTATCAAGAGAAGCGTGGTCAGCAGGTCAAGAGAGGTGATTCTCCCCCTCCACTCTGCTCTTGTGAGACCCCACCTCGAATACTGCGTCCAGTTCTGGTGTCCCCGCCATAAGAGAGACATAGATTTGTTGGAGCATGTTCAGAGGAGGGCCACAAAGATGATCCAGGGGCTGGAGCATCTCTGCTACGAGGACAGGTTGCGGGATCTGGGATTGTTGAGCCTTGAAAAGAGAAGACTTCGAGGGGACCTAATAGCTGCCTTCCAATACCTGAAGGGAACCTACAGGAAGGCTGGGGAGGGACTTTTTACAAGAGCGTCCACCGATAGGACAAGGGGAAATGGGTTTAAGTTGAAGGAGAACAGATTTAGATTAGATCTTAAGAAGAAACTCTTCAGTACGAGGGTGGTGAGACTTCGGAATAAATTGCCCAGAGAAGTTGTGGATGCCCCCTCTCTGGAGGTGTTCAAGGCCAGGTTGGACGGAGCCTTGAGTAGCCTGGTCTAGTTGAGAGGCGTCCCTGCCCATGACAGGGAGGTTGGATTAGATGATCTCTGAGGTCCCTTCCAGCCCATGCCATTCTATGATTCTATGAATTGCTGCTGAGCGGGCTGTGAAGCGAAGTAGTGATGTAGTTCAGAAAAGATGAACTCTGGCTCAGCGAGGCTTTGCCAGTTGTAGGCAAACACACTGTCCACTGGCAGAGTAGAGGATTTAGGGGCAGAGGGCTGCACAGGAATCCATGGAAGATGTCAGGTCATCCGTGAGGACCTGACAGAAAGCATTTCTGGCTGTCCCTCAGCTGTGTCCCCTACTTGAGATGCTGAATCATGGAGTCATTTAGGTTGGAAAAGATATTTAAGATCATCAAGTCCAACTGTAAACCTAACACTGCCAAGACCCACTAAACCATGTCTCTGAGTGCCGCTCAACTGCAGATTGCTCCTGGACTGTAGAAACATGACTTTCAGAGGTTCCTCTTCCATCCAGGTGACTTTATAGGTGGTGAAAGGCACCAGCACAGGCAAACAGGCTTCCCTTCCGAGCCGGCACTGCCTTATCTGTCGCTGGCAGAAGTGGCAGGTGGTCATTCATCCTGCCGGACTCCTCAGCTGAGAGCATGAATTAGAATCACTTCTGATAAAAATAGTGGATACGGCTTTGCAGAGGGATCCAGCAGCTACTACCTCCCTGTAGGCTCTTCAGGCTTTTACTGCTAGTTTTCACATGAGACTTTAGAAATTTTTCCCATGGGTGTTATTTTAAAAGCCCATAGCCCCTTCTTTCAAAGTGACTTGGGTTTCTACACCCCACTGACAGGTTCTTGGTGCTTTTGAAGGATGTCCCACTAAGTATTCAGGAGCAAATTGCTCAGATGTATACTACTCGGTTTAATGAAATATCCTGTGTCAGCTGGTGGTCCACCCTGTGTCGCAGCTTTCCCCTAAATTACATTGATACTCTCAAGCAAAAAATCTGCTCTTTAACACTTAGCGCCATCCCTTTTCTACTTTTTCTGAGTAATGTATTTTAAAGTTTCCCTTTCAATGTCTGGTACTCCATATGAGCGAATTTAGGAGCCTATTTTCTGAGTCCTTTAGGGATGTTTTTCTGCTGGAGAAGAGCAGTAAAATCACACAGCTCTGTTTTGTTTTATTTCTTTATATGGGGGAACATTCCTGTATCTCGTTTTACCACCTGCTGTCTGAAGAGTGTTGCTATTTTGTCTTTTTATTGAAAAGTCTTGCAATTTTTCTCAAAGTCAATTTACTATACTTTAACTGCATTCAGTGAATAATATCTTTTCCAACAAATGTGTCTGTTATAAAAAAAAATCAGTAGATTTTTATAAATTTTCAGTCTGGTTTCTTTAATTGCATTGTAGTCTATTATAGACAGATTTGCAGAGAGTGCAATATTTACATCCCACATTGAAGTGATAAGATTACTTCCTATTGTAAGCCCATTTCATTGACTTACAGACGTGTGTATGAAAACCAGAATGGATGGAGAGGGGTGTCTTGGGGAGAATTTGAGCTTTTTATTAACTATGACAGCCTCAGAATTTGTGAATACCTTTCTCTGTGTAACCATATAGACTGCACTTAGTCTAGCCTCCACAAATCCAATTATTTCAACCTCAGATTTTTGCAGCCTCTTCCCTTTTCTTTCAGCCTGTTCTGCACAATCTCCAGTTTGTGTAAATTCTTTCGAAGTACTATATCCAAAAGCAGGTAACACTCCCTCAGAGGCCTCAACAGCACCCAGCAGATTAGAAGAATAACATACTGTGAGCTGCTTATGACACTCTTAACACACAAAAATGAGGTGGTTTTTTTCCCCCTCAGTGTTTTCTTTGTATTCAAGCTGAGATCCAATATATCCTCTTTGTTGTTGTCTGGTTAGTTGTTCTACCTTTTGGTTGTGTGTGTTTTGTTTCTCCTCCACAACTATGATATTTTCCATTCATCTCTATGAAATATGGTAGAATTTGTTCTCAAAGTGCTCTAAAATTCTGATACAAACTTAAAGGACTTGCAGCTCCCCTTAGTCTGATGCCATCCTCTGTTCAGTTACCCAAGGCATTAGTGAAAACTCAGATTTGAGCCAAATAAGTGTGAGAAATCTGCATGCACAGCAACGAGGCGGTGCAGAGGTGGCTGGAGGGGATCCCGCGTGGTGCAGCATGCTGGTAGGATGCCTGTTCTCCTGGCCTCCCTCGTAGACATGACCGTGCTTTCCTAGATCCCTTCCCTTTTGCATGCTGACCTTTCGTATCCCAGCCTGCCTGAGATGGTTCTGAAAAGGTACTTGAAAGTAGTCTGAAATAGACTTTCCTCACATCTTATAAAACCTCTGATATTCAGATCTTTTGCTATGCAAGAATAGGTCAGTCCCTGATCTCATGAACCTGACAGTTCTCCAGGCAGCCAGTTTCTGCTCTGCAGTGCCCTGGGTTTTTGTTATAGCCCTCCCAAACTGTGAAGATGAGAAAACCTGACTATGCAGTAATTATTCTTAGTATTTCCTCTGATATGCTGGGGATGGAGAGTTCGAGTACGTGTTGGGGCGTGCTTGTAAACTAGTGTCTCTACATGAGATAGTTACGTGACTTTGTCTTGTGTTAGTTCATTCTGCTGTCGTCTGAGCAGCATGCAGATGGCGCATGGGCTGCAGCAGCGTTTTCAGAGTAATATTGTAGAATATTGCAAATAAGATTCATTGTATTTCCATCCATCTGAAATGCAGGTACACCAAATCCAAAGTCACTTTCAACGTTAAGACATTTCTGATGTTCCCCGGTGCTCGTGATAAATAACTTAAATGAGGTTGTTTATCAAACTAATGATCATGAACTTGGCATTGTTAACGATCTATAGATAACAATGAAGACGCTTTCATACGAACTAATAGGAATAATATAAACTTAGATATTCTCTCATCTATTTTGTCCTTTTGCCAAAAGAAAGATGAAGCCTCAGCAAGCATAAATATTCTCCCTTGTGGCGTAGGCGTTTCATTCTTGCCTTTATTTTCCATAGCATAACCTGCAAAGCTTGACTCCACGTTGCCCTTTAAAAATAACTTTCAGGTGTTCTTATATCAATCTAAAGTCTGTGAATGGTGCTGTGATTGATTTGCTGAAGACTGACATTCATCTATAATAGATTCAGAAGGGGAAAAAAGAATGCAAGTGTTCCCAATCTTTACTCCTCTACTCTTTCCTGAAAATCTCCAGTGTGATTTTGAGGATAATTCTGCCTTTGAATCTGTTACTGTCAGGAGGGCTGAGTCAGTCCTTCATAGATTATTCACATATGACATCTTTAGACCTCTATTTGAGAATTTATATCCCATTCACTGGTGAAAATACCACTGTGAGGGATTTTATCTACATGACATGTCCACTGGGCTGTTTTTTGTGTGTCGGATATTTGAAAGTCCATCTGGTTTATTAACGTGTGGTTGGTTCTCTCAATCTACCTATACTACTATTATGGAGAAAATCAAATTTCCAGAGCATGTATTAGTTTTGAGGATTTCAGAGTTTAAATAAATGCTCCCCTTAGGTGTGATTGCCTTGTCAATACGCTGCTCTGCGTGTTGGAGCTGTAGGACACTGTAGAGGAATGTTAGACAAGAGTCTGCAATTATTTTGGGGGGTTTCAGACAACGGAGAACTTTTTTTGTTGGAAAAAGATGGATTTAACCTCCCTATCTCCCTGCAGTTCTCTGAAGTGTATCAGAAAATAATCTATGATGTTCTTTTGTGTGTCTGCCAGCACACGGGTACAGGATGGTCTTTAGGCACCTGACCCCTGTACTGTGCTGAAGAACAGTATTACTAGAACAAAGGTATTAAAT